AAACTTAGCGTCATTTTATCTAAGTATTGTAATTTAATACGAGAAAATAAAAAATACGTGTCTAATATTTTTTTATTATCTAACTGATGGACTAATTAGATTTTTAATGTTGATACCCTGGAAACTACCCAATTGTCCTTCCGTCTGTCTGTCAGTGAAGCAAATTGAGAACGTAGTTACTGAAAATACATGCGTTGGTGGCACAATATCTGACCAAAACTGTGAATATATAGTAATATTAGACTGCCTCGTTGGTCGAGTGGTCGCAAGTGTGACTGCCGGGCAAGGGGTCTCGAGTTCAATTCCAGGGTCGGGCAAAGTATACTGGGTTTTTAAAAATCTCAGTATTAGCACGGAGTCTGTAAATGTGCCCGGTATATGGCAATAGGCTCACCCCCTATTACATGGGACTCATAACATAAATAGTGAAAAGCGGGTGTTACATTGTACAGTGGCAAAGTGCCGTAATGTGCACCTCTGCCTACCCCTTCGGGGATAAAAGGCGTGATGTTATGTTAATATTAAGCTTTACGGTTCAATATCACCCGTCGATATAATACAATAATTCTAACACTTTACTACATCTGGAATACAGTCGTGGCAACAGAAAATGTACCTTATGACAATATTTCAACAAAGTCTTGTCATGGTCAAGAAAATGTATGACAAAAGAGTTGCATTTGAAATGCATGCTCGCGATGTGAAGCCATTTTATTTAAAGTTTATGCGACAGACGTGATGCGAGGATGTTCTCATATTGTACTTAGGTACAACACGAATAATTTTCTTAGATATTATTGTTTGTTTGAAGTTGTCGAAATTACGTTAACCAGCCGTGTGGTGGAAGCAGACTAGAATACCTACATAGAAATAGTAATTAATAATTTATTTACTACCTCGTTGGCCGAGTGGTCGCAATTTTCGAGTAGGGCAAAGTAATTAAATAAATAAATAATTAAATTATTACTGGGTTTTAAAAAAAATCTCAGTAGTAGCACGGAGTCTGGAAATGTGCCCGATATATGGCAATAGGCTCACCCCCTATTACATGGCACTCATAACATATATAGTGAAAAGTAGGTGTTACTTCTGCGTGTACCTCTGGCCACCCCTTCGGGGATAAAAGGCGTGATGTTATGTTATGTTATGTAATTTATTTACTTTTATAAATAGGATTCAAAACAGCACTTTATTCTGTTGAATAAAGTGCGGTGTCAGCCGCTCTGCTCAGCGCCTATTGATCGTAGCATGATGTTATTAGCTTATAGCCTTAATAAATGGACTATACAACACAAAAATAATGTTCCAAATAGGACCAGTAGTTCCTGAGGTTAGCGCGATCAAACGAATAACTCTTGAGCTTCATATAATAGTATACGATTATGAAATTATCTATATGAGGCCAGCCAAAGAACCTAACGGGTTGCCGAGGCTCCGGCTCGACGTGCAGGAGAAGGAACGGGGTGGTTTTTAGTCAGTAAGAGTCTAACACTCCCTCCCGCCTCACCCAGGCGGGAGCAGACATTCGATGATTGTACGCCCGTAAAAAAAAAAATTTGAACTATGCCCACGGGGAGCGAAGGGGTGGTCACAGGTGTACCGTACCCACACTGCTTCTGGAACCTTATGTCAATCAATTTAATTTTCGTAAATAAACCTATTCTATCTGATTATGAATATAGATTATCAGATTATTGTATGTTATATTATGTGTCGACAATAAGCCTTTCACTAAAAAACCCCGCGGGTCATGCGCACTAAAACTACTTGTATTTTGGCTATCGATACAACAAGGTTTTGGTAAAGATAAACCTATATACCTATTGTTAAAATAAATATCTAGATTCTAGATCTTTAGATTTATTGCTGTTTTTGTGAAATTAGGTTACAAAAAGATTTAACCGAAAACAGGCTGTCGGTATACGAAACTATAAAAAAGTCATAGAACATTACATCATAACATCACGCCTTTTATCCCCAAAGGAGTAGGCAGAGGTTTACATTACGGCACTTCATGCCACTATACAATGTAACACCCACTTTTCAATATTTATGTTATGAGTCTTATGTAATAATGAGTGCCCCCATTTCCATATAGGTACCGGTGCGACTCAGTAAGGGGTCTCGGGTTCGATTCCCAGGTCGGGAGAAGCATTACTGGATTTTTTCAAAAAAATCTCAGTAGTAGCATAGAGTCTGGAATTGTGCCCGGTATATGGCAATAGCCTCACCCCCTATTACATGGGACTCATAGTAAAAATGACTGTTACATTGTACAGTGGCATTAAGTGCTGTAATGTGCCTCTGCCTAACCCCTCGGGGATGAAAGGCGTAGTGTTATGTTATGTTTGAGGTTGAAGTCGGTTTTTTAAGACCTTGACTGTCAATAAAAAACTGTTGAAGGTAAATCCTCCGCTAACGCCGGTCACCGGTGACCCCCATGGCGTTTAACGTGTTAAACATTATTTTTTTAGCGCTTACTTTATGTAGGTAGCTACTTTCTGTGCTACATCTTATTATTTTTACTAAGTAAGCAGTATAGGCAGTCTTCTTTCCCCATAACAACGGTTTTACCTTGAAAATTATCATAATTTCTAGAAAACAGGCAATTTTTCATCTATCACTCGTGTATGCATTCGCGTGACACGAACAGAAGGTCATGTAGACGTCGTACATAGCACTTGGCTAGATTTTAGATAATACGTGCGATTTATTTAGAGTATCGTTTTACTGTCGCGATTTATTCGCTTATTTTTATGTTGGTAATATTTGGTTTCTATATAGTAGTCAAAGTCAAAGTCAATTGATGCGGAATTAGGGAACTTACCTTCATCAAAAATAAATTATATCGACTGTTGAATACAGTAAAATATTTAAAAAATCTTTCACTTTTATTATACCAACTTAGTTTTAGTACTCTTCCAGCATTTTTTCAAGAAATAAGTATGCTGTTTGACGCAAAAAAATTGTGACGTCACAATACATAATCTCGTACAAAATTCATACGAAACCGTCGTTTTAATAGTTAGAAAAAAGTATTGAATTTCACTAGTTGGCAAGGCACTTTTGATTAGTCAAAAATTTAGTCCATCCGTTTCTCTGTCAGTGAAACGTAAGTAACTAGGAAATCTAGATTTGGTAATAATAAAGCTAGTATAGGACTAGCACTAGGTCTCAATTCTGGAAAAAAATATACGTAGGTACGTATTTTTACGTAGGTATTTGTCTTGTATAGGTAGTATTTGGTTGTTTTGGTTGTAAAGTAAAGTAAGTAGTAGTAAAGTATTATTGGATGTCGTCGGTTTACGAATATTCTCCTCATAACTTAGGTTCTATAATCATGTCCCTACACCGGACGGACAACCGGCAATATTTAATATGCGCTCCACTCCAGGACTGCCTCGTTGGCTAAGTGGTCGCAAGTGCGATTGCCGGGCAAGGGGTCTCGGGTTCGATTCCCGGGTCGGGCAAAGTATTACTGGGTTTTTAAAAATCTCAGTAATAGCACGAAGTCTGGTAATGTGCCCGGTATATGGCAATAGGCTCACCCCCTATTACATGGGACTCATAACATAAATAGAGAAAAGTGGGTGTTACATTGTACAGCGGTATTAAGTGCCGAAATGTACACCTCTGCTTACCCGTTCGGGTATAAAAAAGGCGTGATGTTATGTTATGTGTTATATTATGTGCTCCTCTGCCCGATAACCTGTATCAGAATAAAAAGCACATCGTACTATATAACTTAATTATTTCAAACTTTCAGCAAAGTTCTAACACAACCTAAAATAAACTCCAATAATGGTTCAACATCAATTTTGAAGCAAAACCCATTAACATAACATAACATAACATAACATCACGCCTTTTATCCCCGAAGGGGTAGGCAGAGGTGCACATAGAAGTAACACCCACTTTTCACTATTTATGTTATGAGTCCCATGTAATAGGGGGTGAGCCTATTGCCATATACCGGGCACATTTCCAGACTCCGTGCTACTACTGAGATTTTTAAAAAACCCAGTAATACTTTGCCCGACCCGGGAATCGAACCCGAGACCCCTTGCCCGGCAGTCGCACTTGCGACAACTCGGCCAACGAGGCAGTCCATTATTACATAAAATATTTTATGTAATAATGGCATTATTACATAAAATATTCATAAAACGTATGCAAGCACAACAAACAGCTCCGATCTAGTTCAAAAACGTTGCTCATATAATAATTACTCATACCTCGTAAATATTCAGATCAAAAATAACGCTGTTCAAGCAGAATGAGGTACAAAGGCGTGTAGTTTAACAAGAAAATGAAAAGATAATAACAATTTTGAGTTTTATTAGAATTTCTGCGCATATTCAGAGGGAAAATATCGGTAAACCAACATCAACAGCGGACCGGCGATGTTCTTTTGTGGCCTTATTTTCAAAAGTATTACTGTTGGAATAGATTTGAAAATACAGTGGTAATTTTTAATGAAGATGAGTTATTAGGTCTCTATTATCAATTAGATTGACTTGTCTGTTGTTTTTTTATAGTGTAAGCTGGTAAACGAGCAGACAGATCACCTGATGGTAAGCAATCGGTGCGGCGTCGCCCATGGCCAGAGGCGTTACAAGTGCATTACCGGCCTTTTGGGGATTAGGAATTTGAGGATTGGAGAGATTGAGGATGGAAGGTTAATTGGGGGTAATTGAGTTGTGATGTGTGGTTTCTTAATTCCTGTAATGAAGACACTAAGTAATGAATTCACTATGTACTTAAATGAGGTACTTTCCAAACTCCGTGCATCATTTTAGAATTATTGGAAACTTCATTATTACCTAGTAATAAAAAACAATAGTCCCCTACTCTATCTGAGAATTAAATATATGCGTAATGCTCAATAGCTGCACATACCAAAGAACTAATTGTGTTGGTGACACTACAAAATTCTGTGTTTATTAAACAAGAAAGGATAATTTAAATTATTGCGATTTATTTAATCTTTAGTCGTGACAGCAGCATCCCGGCTTTAGTTCGGATAAGGTTTGATGGACAGTATCTGAGTTCTGTATCTTACTGTATCGGGTATTGTTATCACTGCTTCTGATATGGTCTCGATAAAATTGAAGGGTTTACCGTTTTTATCTTACTTTTGTTACGGATCGCCACGGTAACGAGGCAGTGCGGTCAAAATGAACAGTAAGTACCTACATATTTTAGTGTATTTCTTGTAAAGTTTATTTAATTTGAATATTGATTGGTCTACTTGTTTTGTGGATGGTTAAATTATGTGATAATTAATTTACTCTTTGTAACTAACTGTAGATAGGATAGAAACTTATGAGCAGCCTTAAGTTTTGGATTGTTACGTAATATTTTTGAGAGAGCTATGGCTTGCATGAAATTTACATTCAATTCGTAAATGAGAATATGTATAAAGATGCTGGGCTTTTGTGAATTCCTATTTCAATAGGTATAATCGAAGGGGTGCCATATTGGCCTGTATTTTCATATTTTTTTTAATAATTTAAATCAGTTTTTTAACTTACTTACTATGTACATAATATTTATTTGTCCAACACTGAGATGCATTGGATTATGTCTTACAGATTAGGAGTTTTGTCATAATCGTAATTACAGAAATTAGCTCTTATTATGTTTATTTTCGAGGCGTACTTATTATGTAGAAACCTTAACCTAGGGTTTCTTTGTGGCTTAAGTTAGTTTATCGAGGGATAACAATACTCTTGATATTAGAATAACTAAATATTCCTTCATATCACTTTAAATTATAAATGTGAAAGTTTCTTCCTTTGGATGTTTGGAGGTTTCCCGTTAATCATGTTGAAACTACTGAACGGATTTAGGTATACAGGCAGAGTCAGGGCTCACTTAGGTGATACGATACTTTTTATCCCAAATAAATTCTCTCATGGCGAAAAAACAGGAATAGAATAAAGCTAGTACCTAATTAAATGTACTTATAAGTACAATATACTTATCAAGTGTTATAAGATCGAAGATCATGCAAATAAGAAAGTTATGGGAGAATAGATTGCAATGGAAATGCCTTTGAAATGTTACGTAGGAATATGAGAAGGATATGGTTATTGATAAAACGATAATGGCTTCAAAAACCAGTCCTTACATCAGCAAATTTAGTAGTTCAACCAATTTTAGGTACTTATTCTAAGATATTTTTCTGAATATTTCACAATCGAAATAAGTTTCGTTAGTTTTGAAACAATGTTGAAATTGTGGTAAATATTGACTTAATTATTACTACGCAGTGCGATGTTTGTCTTTCCTCAATTTTCAGTACGATGCTAAGTTTTAAATTACCTACTTATAGTTATATTAGAAAGCTTTGACTTTTCCTTACACTAAAATCTCATGCTTGCGCGTAACTAGTTATTTCTACTTAAATTGGAATAAGCGCGAAATGTTTTATAAAACTCCATCGCGTATTACCATATATCCTCTTTTTTACGTAGGAATAGGTACTTAGTATCTACTAGGTACTTAGTATCTACTAGGTACTTAGTATCTACTAGGTACTTAGTATCTACTAGGTACTTAGTATCTACTAAGTACTTATATGTATAAGTACGATAGTATAAATCTAGCACAAGCTGATCTTTGGGTACTAATTTATTACTTGAAAAAATAGACACCATTATCCCTATAACAAATATTTTAAAGAAACAAACCAAACATTCTCCCAAATTACTTTTTTTCATACTAAAAAAGTCCTATTACTTCCTCAGCAGCCATCTGGCTTCTATGCTGCGCAGCGGCCGTGGCCAGCTGCTCCGGACTCTCAATCCCATTGAGACAAAATCCGGAGACACTATGCCGTGGTCAAGAGAACTTCCTGAGGATCGCCTGCATCGAAAGCTGCTTCCAATACTATCAGTGTTATTCCGGCAACTCCTACCTGATGCTATGTCCACCAGGAACTTGGTTCAATGAACCAGAACAGGTGAGGGTTGTGCGCAATCAGTTTGTGTTTGTTTTGTTTAGAAAGTGTTGCGTATTTTAGTAAGATTACAACATTAATTATTATGTTTTTCGGCTTACTTACGTAATTATGTGACGAGGTACTCGACTAGTTTCAAGCCATGCTAGAGGCCTATATTCATGAGCAGCATTCCGCAACCCGCGACGCGGCGACAGTCGCGCTGCTAGTGCTCATCCAATAATTACGTGAGTAAGTCGAAAAACACAAAAAAATAATCTAGTATGTCTCATGAAAGTTATAATATGAAGATTACAACAAATGAAGGTGAAGTTATTGGAAAGAAACAAGTGTCATTTTTAAAGGTCTTTGAACACATTGCCATTGAGACATTGACAGTGCCTGTTACACATTAAACTTTACTATACACAGAGAAAATTGTCAAAGAATAATGTTGAACAGTGTCAGTTTCACGTTCGCTGAACTTATTTTGGAACTTAATCTAAATACTTAATCGATTATAACATAAACATCAGTATCACGCACGACTTTTATGCTTGAAGGGGTAGGCAGAGGTGGACATAACGGCCCTTAATGCTATTGTACAATGTAACACCCACTTATCACTGTCTATGTTATGAGTCCCATGTAATAGGGGTTGAGCTCATTGTCATATACCGGACACAATCCCAGACTCAGTGCTGCTTCTGAGATTTTATTAAAAGGCCATTAGTATTTTGTCCGACTCTGTTTAGCATTTTTGCTAAATTCGTCAAGATTACCTCATTTTTAAAAGTAAAAGTTATGATATCCATACCAGTGGCACAAACTCTCGTTGGACCGAATTTCAATCAAATAGGTTCAGTAGTATTATTGTTAAAATTGCAACCAAATGTTTGTTGTTATCTCATAGAACCTTTATCTCAACATTTGGACAGTAGTTTGACATATCGCACTGTCATATGTCAATATTTTGATAAACATACTTCTGGGCATCACGCGAAAGATAAACGATCTTGATGTTCTTGATGAAATTCTACGAAAATTCTAGATTAAATTTGAACTTTATCTTATGAATGATGTAGGTACCTAAAACACATTTGCGTAAGACGACCATTGCTCGCGTATAACTCTTAATCGACTGTATTAGAATCTGTTAGAACATGAAAAAAATTGACAACTTCATAGACAAAATTGGTGACAAAAAGTTATCAAATTGTATTTCCGAGAAATATAAGAACATGTTTTGCCAAATATTTATAAATTTATTCCAGGTATGTGACTGGTCACCTGCACCAGGGCACTGCGTCGAACCAGAACCTGAGCCAGAGCCAGAGCCTGAACCCGAGCCGGAACCCGAGCCAGAGCCTGAACCAGAGCCAGAGCCTGAACCTGAACCAGAGCCAGAACCAGAACAAGATCCGGAACAAGAAGTCGCACCCCTCCAGGCTGAAGGCTCCGGCGAAGAATGGCAAGACGATGCAGTCAAAAACTACTTGAAAGCTTTCAAAACTGTCAAACAAGAAGAAGTTGTTGTCGAAGATGGTATCATTGAAGGTGACGACGAATTCGATGGCGAGTATCTTAAAGCCCAAGAAGAAAATCTTGATGAAGAAGATTTACTCGAGAAAGCTAAGAAACTGATGAGGCAAGAAGAAGTCGAGGAGGAGTCAGAAGATGAACTAGCCAAGAAACGTCAGGTAGAAGAAGAATCTAATGATGACGACGAAGAGCTCATGAAGCGCCAAGAAGAAGAAATATCAGATGATGAAGTAGAAGAAGCTAAGAAACGCCAGGAAGAAGAAGTCGAGGATCAAGTAGAAGAACTTAAAATGCGTCAAGAAGAAGAAGAAGTTGTAGATGAAGAAGAAGTTATGCAGCGTCAAGAAGAAGCTGAAGATGAAATAGAAGAGGCCAAAAAACGCCAAGAAGAAGAAGAATCTGACGATGAAGTAGACGAAGCCAAAAAACGTCAAGAAGAAGAAGTTGAGGATCAAGTAGAAGAAGCCAAAAAGCGTCAGGAAGAAGAAATTGATGATGAAGTAGAAGAAATCAAGAAACGTCAAGACGAAGAAGCTGAGGATGAAGTAGAAGAAATCAAGAAACGTCAAGACGAAGAAGCTGAGGATGAAGTAGAAGAAATCAAGAAACGTCAAGATGAAGAAGCTGAGGATGAAGTAGAAGAAATCAAGAAACGTCAAGAAGAAGAAGAAGCTGCGGATGAAGTAGAAGAAGTTAAAAAACGCCAAGAAGAAGAAGAAGAGGTATCCGAGGATGACGCAGAAGAGACCAGGAAGCGTCAAGAAGAAGAATCTGAAGATGATGTTGAAGAAGCCAAAAAGCGCCAGGAAGAAGGAGAAATTGATGATGACGTAGAAGAGGCCAAGAAACGCCAAGAAGAAGAGGACGAAGCTGAGGATGAAATAGAAGAAGCCAAGAAACGCCAAGATGAAGAAGAGGAATCCGTTGACGTAGAAGAAGTTAAGAAACGGCAAGAAGAAGAAGAATCTGATGATGAAGTAGAAGAAGCAAAAAAACGCCAAGAAGAGGTAGCAATTGATGATGATGATGTAGAAGAAGTCAAAAAACGCCAAGAAGAAGAACAAGCTGAAGATGAAATAGAAGAAACCAAGAAACGCCAGGAAGAGCTTGAAGACGCCGAGGAATCTGTAGATGAAGTAAAACGTATAAAACGTCAAGCAGAATTCGAGGACAACGATGATGTAGAAGAAGTCAAGAAACGCCAAGAAGATGATGAAGATAATGATGATGAAGTCAACGAGGACGCTAAAGAAGAAGAATCTAAGAGGAGTCAAGAAGAAGGTGACAATGAAATCGAACAGGAACCTGAAGAAGTAGATGATGATGAAGAATCTAAGAGAAGCCAGGAAGAAGACGATTCCGGAAATGACAATGACGATAATGATGCCGGTAATGACAATGACGACAGTAATGAATCAGAAGATGATGCAGATGTAGACTCAGAAGCCGATTTCAAGCGCAGAGTAAAGAAGTTCTTCAAACACGTGTTCAGAATTTTAAACTAGAAGAGACTTCGGTAGCATTGTAAAATGTTTTCTAGAAGTAACTTTGAAATTAACTTAGAAAGTAATTAGTTTTAATTTATTTAAGTTGTAAACATCACTTTGTGCAATTTTGTAAATATTAGCGTGGTTATTACATTATTTATTGAACATTTAAATAATTTTATTTACTACTCAATACTTTATTGAAGATTCTAGTTTTATTAACTACTCATGTACTTTTCATCAAGAAAAATCTGTATTAGGTTTTGTGTTTGAGACTGTATAAGTGGGCTCAATCCTGCCCAAAGTCACTCCCACCCTGACGTAATATAAAATATTCTCTTTCTAATAAGAAAACTAATTTTTAGGGGGGCATGAATCTAAAGGGGTTGAAAAACAAAGAAAGTTGGTTTTTGGCCAGGACCTCTAGTTCTTGAAATATTGAAGGATTTGTCAGAAGCTAGCATCGGACCAGTCCCAAGCGATTCTTGTTGACACAGTGAGTCATATAGAATGAAAATTCGGTATTAGGTTTCGTCAACCTTTATTTTATTTTTTTTGGTTTTTTTTTAACACGTTGCCCCACACTAGGATTTTCTCCTGTGTCGTGGGTGCGTTTACAAACATACAAGTTCACATACACAATGACACCCAGACCCGAAACAACAATTTGTGGATCACACAAAGTGTTGTTCCGTGCGGGAATCGAACCCGCGACACGTTGCACGACAGCCGGTTGCCCAGCCACCGCACTAACCGTGCAGTTTGAGGCTATACAAGTCGGCCCAACACTGCCCGAGGTCACTCCCACTCGGTACTTCAAGCAGATGACTCATTTTAAGGGCTGGTGTGTCTATAGGCGGTTGCGAAAATTTTGTTACTTTTTCACTAGAGCAAGACTGAGATATATTGAGTGTGTCAGTTAGCTATTTGAGGTTGTCTGTTCTATAACTGAATATTCTTTATTATTCCATTACTTTATCCAATAACTTGTATTTTGACAACAGTCGGTAACTAAAGAGTTCTTCAAATGAAATGCAGATGATAAATAAAAAAAGTTGCAAAATCAATTTAAGAATTTATTACATCATTTATTATACAGTACAAAATAATCCTCAAGTACAATAATTATTTAGGTATAAGTAACACAACCAAAGCAAAATATTAAAAATTGGATTTGAGATGTTCATGTCACCGTAGGCCTACGATAAAAGTGGCCGTAAATGCATTTAGGACATAAAATAAGTTTACAATAGTGGTATTTCGTTAACTAATAAAGTATGACTGTAGAGTTATTCTACTCATTGGCAGTAATTTTTACAGTACTGGCAATTTCTCCTCCGCGAACCAGATAGTCGTCGTACGACGTTCACACTTGGCAATAAGCTAGAATATAAAAAATAAACTTCTAAAATTGTACACAACATACCAACAGCTTCAAAAATAAATTACAAACAGTGCGAGGACGTGAGCCCCGCTGTACGAGCCCGGCGCGAACTGGCACTGCCGCCTTGGTAGCAACACAAACTGACTGGCAGCGCGGGGGCCGCGCTATTCGGAATACCGTAAGATTACATATTAAAACTTTATCATGGTCCACCGAACGCACAGTATAAAAAGATGCAATGAGTAGATAAGATATGTGATGTGTTAAAATATACATAATAGTTGCTCTGTGCCATTGGAATTACTTACTAACAATTTCAACAACAGTCTGCTACGAATTTAATTTAGCACACGATTAGCGCAAATGAACAATATCACAAGTTTACGATCAGTACTCAATTCCAAACGCCACAGAGCTATATAAGCCTATTCCTAAAGCGAATACAATAGTAGTAAAGTACTTGTGTAAATCTAGCGGTTTATAACAAATAACCTTTACTTGACCAGACATTTGCTAAACGTTCCGCGCGGACGCAGCCGGGCGGCGCGCCCTATATATAAATGTTACGTGATATTATTAGCAAAATTACTCTCTCCGGCGCGACGCACCGCCCGGTCGCATCTTACAATCGAATTTTAAAATATCACCAGTATTATCTTAGTCAGCCCGCCACATCCGCACCTACATAGTTACACAAAAATATATCTATAAAACTACAAAATATTACATCAAAATTAAATACATAGTTAAAACATTGATAATAATAAATGAGAAAAGATAGTTAAGAAATAAATAATCAAATAAAACGACTATATACAAACATGAGGCGCGGGTGCGGTTGTGACGATCGTGTCAACTCCAACTTTAAACAATTCCAAGTTCCAAATCCTTCAGATCAACTACTTGCCTAAGTCTACGGCGGTTACATGAAAATATCACGAGCGCGAATACATCGTTAGGTAGTACATACCGTTAGTACAAACGTTACTATAGAATATAAGCGTGCTCTTAACATTAATTGTATCAAATCCTTTGACGACATTGTTCAGTAAAAAAGTACGAAAGAGCTGCGGTTGTACAAAATGTGTATATAATGTAGACGACGAGCGCGTCAGAACAGGCCGACGTCCTTCTTCATGTTGGTCTGTTTCCACGCGGGGAGCACCGAGAACTCTTCTTTGGTCATGCCGAAAGCCTCCTGCCCAAGAACAAACATACTTCATTAATATTACATTAGTTTTCCCAACTAAATCTGTGTTAAGATAATATTAATGTATTTATTTATAAAAACTATAAATAAATACCTTATGGAATGGTGACTGAAATAATTATAAATTTTTAATTATGAAAAATAGAAACATGGCAGTTTGAAATTTACACAATATTAATATAATTTGTGTCACATATTTACATTAATGCCGTCACCGAAGTATCCCATATCCGTGCAAGTAATTTATAGTGCATTGTATTTATGTACGGTTACATTACATATAATAATATCAATCTGTCAATCTATATAAAGTAAAAATGAATTTTCGTTCGTTAGTCTCGCTTTGATTAGATTTGGCAAATTTTGATCTTGAATTATTCGTGGAGTTCCAGGGAAGGTTGCTGTACGAAGCTTGCCGGGTCTGCTATTTCGTAATATTTTTTGATGATAATTAATTTTCAATAGCCTCATTCTATAAACTAGACTTTTTAAACGGCTTAATTTAGCCTGGTAACTGAAAATTACCTGGGGTTTGTCTTATAGCATACACTCAGGTACTACTTTTGCAAGATTCTTTACTTCCCTTCAATAAATTAACTAATTTATAAAATTATTGTTCTCTGTGAGATAGGTAAAAGCAAAATTTGTGTTTATAACACAGGACACAGGACTAAACCAAGTCATAGAAATTCTAATCAATGATAGTAAACACTGAAGGGTACGTACCAGGAAGTCAGGCGAGGAGAGATGTCGCTCGAGATGGTGCGGGTCGACGTGGTCGGGCAGGGGCCGGCGCTGCAGCGCGGCCAGCGGCAGCTCGGCGGCGGCGCGCGTCAGCCGCGCCAGCTCGCGCGCGCCGCACCACGCCTCGCCCGCCTTGTGGCCCAGCTGGAACCGTGCGGGTATTCACAGTGCGGGGACAAGCAGGGCTTGGACGAACCACAAACCATACCCTAACCAATTGGGTACTTGCCAACAAGTCAAACTCAATACTTTTTTCGAACTGTCAAAAACGACAGTTTTCTATGAATGATTGTGTATTGTGACGTCACGTTTTTTTAGCGTCATACAGCATACTTATTTCTTTAAAATTTGATGAAAAAATAATAAAACTAAGTTGGCCATAATAAAATATATTCTTTAAGATCTTATTATATTGAACAGTAGAAATAATTTATTTTTGATTAAGGAAAGTACCCAGTTTATAGTTCATCTTATTGATGGCCAGTTTCACACACTCTGGATAGCTATTATCTACCAAATAAATACGTAATTTGTTCGTGTAAGCTCCAGTACTAATAATTATTATGAGTTGTGAAAAAGGCCCTAAGAATTTTGCATTACATTTTATCTGTACACCATACCCCTGATAAGCGATCACTTAACAAGATCATGTCCGATCTTGTTTGAAAATGTATGTTTCCATTGAGCCCCATCTCATTATAGCGTTGGCATTATTAAAGCGAACCGAAGAAGAACCTTTTCGCGAATGTGCTTTAGAGTGCAGAATGGTAAAGTTTTATTTTAAGCTTAGTAATAAAAAGGTACTAACGTTGATATTGGCTTCGGCTGCCTCGTCGTGATCAACCCAAGTATCGAACAGGTCGGTGAAGGCCTGTGGTTCAAGGCCGGCTGCTACTAGACGTACGTCGGGTCGAGTCCCGGGTCGTGACACGCGCCAGTATGCATCACAAGTACGTAGGGCTGCTACTCGTAAAGCTTGCCAACGGGCTGCGAATGCTCCAACACCTGGAAAAAAATTAGAGTAAAGATGAACAAACGTTTGCCAAAGGCATTCAAAAGGATATTATGCATTTTGGAAAGTTTTAATGACATGTTTTGGAAGATATACGAATTTTGTCAGTGTAAAAACCACTTTGACAATGAAGTCTCGAGTTGTTTTCTATCACAGTTTGAAAAGGGTAATTAAAAGTAATGTATAGTATCTCACCAGCGTTCCTCTCAGCGGGCTCCAGCTCCCCGTCCTCCCCGCGCGGCCACCAGCCCTGCCACAGCCACACACACACCCCGTCGTCCAGCAGGAACAGAGCTGGACACACACAAACCAAGTTGTAAACCACCGCGCTATGTTGGTGCTAATCTAATTATCGCATAAACATGTAAGGAAGGTGTTTCTCACCTGGTTGCGAAGCCGAGTACAACTCCTTTTGGTCAAAAGGGAAGGGTGTCACCAGGTGCTCGTGGCGGAGCGGAGACAACACCTCATTGGCTTCGAACTGTCCTCCCAGGTCGGTGAAGTGGAACAGGCGAGGGGAACTGCCCCCCACCTCGCGGCCCCCGCCCAGCACTGACATGTAATGTTGCTTGTTCGCTACGCCCAGAGCTTCTAGAACTTCCTTCGGCTCCTCACCCTCTCGAACCTCTGTGATCTTTACATCAGACACGTTCTCCCCGAATAAGTAGCTCGACTTCCTCGCTATGAGCTTGTTAGCCAGCTCGATAGCAATGTCTTTAGTATGCTTCATGCTCCTTGCTCCGTGCCAGATGTATAGGCATCCCTTCTCAGTATCGACCAAGAGTAGTGAGCCCCGGCTACGAAGTTGTCGCACTGAACAAGGCACCTGCAGTAAGTACGCCTCGTTGGACAGATTGCCTCGCGTCACAAACAGTCTGTACCGGCTCTTGTCGGAGCCCCTCTTGCCTTGATGGATGACTAGATTCCCTTGGAACTGGTTGAGGAAGGCAGGCGGCTCGTTCCCTTGTGCAACGCGGACCTGCGGCCCCTTCTCCCTGTCGAGCTCGACAGTGAGTAATGCGGCGGCTCCCTTCTCGTTCGAGCTGGCGTCCCGTCCCTGCCAGCAGAAGTACGCGCACCGATCTCTTCCCGTAACGTTATGTTTAGATGGTTTCCCATTCAGCTCACGACCGGTCATCGTGATCTGGTACTCCCATCTAATAATATAACTGTCGGCAGAGAAGAACTCACCGATATCGGATTCGTCCTCAACTTTTTGGAAATCGTACTCCTGTATCACCCACTTGCTTACAGACTTGGTCTTAATGTCGTAGTGCCTCATGTTCTCCTTGTCGTAGTAGTGCGTGCCGCGGCCGATGTGAGATCCTTCTAAAATGAGATCTGGATCCTGGTACTCGTTCGACCACATCTCCTCGGCATCGCAGGGGTTGATTTCAACGCTGTTACTCTTGTTTTCTGGTGATTTGACCTTGATGACTCTGGTGTAGTCGGGCCAGTCAAGGAATTTCTCCTTGAACAGAATGGTTTCCATGTGCTGTGTAATTTTGGATAGGATGGCCCATTCTGGTCTGCTGTTGGCGGATTTGGCGGGAGGATCGGTGGCCTCTCGCGCGCCCTGGTACTTGGCAGCATTCAAGGGGTTGATGTGACACTCCTCGTAGTTGTATCCTTCGTCAAACATTTCCTGCGCTAGTTGTGCCGCGCGGCGTCGACTCTCAAGGGGAACATTCTTCCCGTACCAGATGTACATTTCGGATCCGAAGTCAAACACGATCACTTTGGTTTGGTTGAGCATGGCGATCTTGGGAACCTGTCCCCAGTACTCCTGGATGGGCACGAGCTCGTCGTCCATGACCTCGTAGCACATGTTGGTCTGCAGGATGCAGGACTCGAAGATCTCGTCTTCATCAGCATGTCCTGTCTCGACTGGTTTGTAGTTCTCAACGTTTTCAGTAACGCCGAGGAGAGACCAGAACTGGTTCCAATGTTTGTTGCTGAAGTTTTTGATTTGTTCGTCTATTTTGATGATACCGGGGGAGTTCTTGCAACCCATGTCTTTTGTGTTTTGGATGTGCATGGCAATGTCTGTGCTGCGATTTCTGAAAGAAAAGATAATATATATGTTAAATAATCTAAAGTAAGCAGTGTCACTCTGTTGTCTAAGCAGTTGTTTCTGTAGACTTTTTAATGTTGTAGTCTTTATTATAAATTCTTGTTCTGAGCTACTTACTTCTCAATGACGTTGGCGTAGAGTCCGATGTAGAGGAACAGTTGGTCTGACGAGATCAGCACGAAGCAGTCTCCGCGGTTGACGCTCGTGTGGACCGGCTCCACTAATCTCGTCTGCAAAAGAAAACCAAATATAAGAAAACTTAGCAAATTACGTTATCTTTAAGGTGTAAAACATTATTTTTCGAAAGAAATAATAATTTTCTAGTTGAAATTGAGAAGATAAGGCAAATATAAGCTTTTGTCTTGGTGTATGAAGGGTTGGATGCCGTGTCGGACAAGGATGTCCCACGCTAGCGGAGGATTAGCCTTTAACAGTTTTTATCGACAGTTAAAGGCTTAAATAAAATAATAATAAATAATGATTCATACAAACAGTATCACAATTGATCGACTGATAACAAGTCAACGGTAATTTACAGTTAGTTTTCATCATCAACAGTTCCTGGTCAAATGTGTACTTATCAGGAAAAGAAAATAAGTCCGAATAAGCAAGCGAGTGTTAAATAATGTTTTTTTGTTGGTAACTAGCTGTTGCCCGTGACTTCGTCCGCGTAGAATATGAATTTTAGGACATATTTTTATGTATAAATTTTCCAAAATATAAGTAGCCTATGTTACTCCTTACTACATCAGCTAACTTTCAATAAAAGTCCCGTCAAAATTGGTCCAGCCATTCCAGAGACAAGCCAGTACAAACAGACAAATATTGTAAAAAAAAATAATTGTGGTATGTGTATCGTATGTATATATGCATGTAATAAAAAGCGGTTATGTTAATATTATAAACAGAAACTTCAATTTTATTTATCGGTGTAGATAGTTAAGCGCCTGGCCGCTATCTCGCCATTTGTATTCTATTGTCCCATTTCATGTTTAAGTCACAGGAGTAAATAATGTTTACCTGCACCCTCCTCCTCCCCTTGACGTGCAGCAACATGAGCGGCCTGGCGCCGGGCGCGGCGGGCGCGGCGGCCGCGCTGCGCAGTGCCACCGCCGCGAAGTCTTCCTTGCTGGCCAGCGCCGCCAGTGCTTCCGCTGCTAAACCGCCGTTACTGGCCACTGGGGAACAAACATATATGTTATTTAAACATACAATACTAGCTACTTCCACGCGGTTTCACACGCTCTGCTCAGCTCCTATTGGTCGTAGCGTGATGTTTTATAGCCTAAAGCCATCCTCAATAAATGCGCTATCCAACACAAAAAGAATTATTTAAATCGGACTTGTAGTTACAGAGATTAGCGCGTTCAAACAAACAAACTCTTCCGCTTTATAATATAGTATAAGATCATAAAACTGTTTTTCTAAGTTATAGGTTGAAGTTTTTTTATAACAATTTGAGGTTTTAACAGTATTCTGTCTGAAGACGAATTTCGCCTTAACAGTGTTATTACAGTGAGCTGTTAAGCAAAGTCAAAACCAAAGTCAAAGATCTTTATTGTGAGACAGTGGTTACAAAGGTTGGTCTAAAGGTTGTGTTCATGCACAGCTCCACCATGTTAGGCATACAATAGTTTGACAAAGCCCTGTTATAGAAGAATTTGTCTTTGAAGTAATGCACGAGTAAATAGAAAAGTTCACGGATTGGTTGTATGTCAAAATTATTCATTACCGATAAAACAGAATATATCAGTTTATGTCAATCGTACACATAGACTCCCCTATTAAATCGTAAATCATTTTCTTATTTCCCAACTTTACTAAATAAATTACTTACTATTATAAATTCCCATATGTACAACTTTTATATAACACTAAACTTAGTAAACTACACAACACTTCAAGATCCTGATGAACAATGAATCATTGTGTTTGAAAACACTAAATATATACAAATACAAATCCGTTTACGTATTGCCGAGTGTCGACAAGAAGCCGTACAAACACTAATTATAGATAACATGAAATTATTCATAATATCGTACGACATATTATAATTTGTTATGTAGATAAAATCAGATGCCTTACATTAAGACATCAGGAACGGATACATTTTCAGCATTATCACATTGTAATTAAGTACATTATTTATTAAAGAAATTGTTGCTAATTTTATATCTTTAGCGCCTTGCATTTTTGTTTATCTTTTCCTTTTAATAATATCATATTCAGTATCACCTCCCTTCGACATATGTATAAAAGACGTGTTATGTTGCATCATTGTCATACTCATGATTTTGTATTTTTATTTACTTCATTATATAATGTTTTTGTTAACGTCAACCTAACTGACTACTCTGAGAAGAAATGCCGAAACAAACTCAGAGGTCTGTCTCTTTTAAAGTCCAGACAAATGTGTATAAAAGATTATGTGTGAGAAACGTGCAAGTTCTTTCTGTAGTGGCCTTTTGAGGTGAGAGAACCACAACAGTTTGAGCGGACCCGCTCTGAAGGCAGTACGCATGTGTCGGTTTACAACCAGCTCAATTAACTTACATTTCTCGATGACATAGTTCTGTTTGAGCGTGGGCGGTGGTGGAACGTATTCGTCCCGCAGGTCAGTGCGCGCTGCGAGGGCACGGAGCGGGTTGCGCGACGCAGCGTGCCGCCGACCCACGCGGGCGCGACGGGACCATTCACTCGCCAGTCTGAGGGAGAAAAAATGGATTATAGATGTAAATTTATTTAACATTATAGCTAAGTTTTGTGTAGGAATCCAATCACCATGAAGTAATCTCTTGAAAGAGATCTTCTCATTAGAAAAAATCGATTAAATGACACGAAAAATCGAAGATCTATTGAAAAAATATTCAGTATTGACAAGCCCTTAAACTTTCCACTAGTATTTTAGTAATACTTACATAGGGATTTTTTAAATCGTCTATTTGTAAAGTGATAAGAATAATTATTGAAAAAGGAATAATATAAGGATTTTTTATCAGGCCTTTCTAAACCAGTTATTCAAGACTCGTACATTGACAAATTACCTTTCACAAATCTACAAAACAAACATCGACATGACTAATGAACTTACAATTGTCTAGACCCGCTGTCAATTGCGTCGAGGTCGACATCAACACCCTCGGTGTCTGCCAGCCTCTCCTGTTGCAAAGCGGGCGTGAAGAACGCTTGGAACGTCTCATCATCGGTACGGGGTACACGCACCGGCTGGCCTGTCTTCTCAGCACCACAGGACTCATCTTCTGGAAAAAGAAAATAAGTATATAAATTACATAGAGAATAGAATAGAATATACAAGAAATTGTAAATAATAGGTATCTATATTTTAGCTTGAAGTCGTTAGGAGAGTCCTATTATGTCATTCCAGCGTGAGTCCTATGTTTAGCAGTGGGTGCTTTGTAGCCAATATGATGAAGATGAGGTATTAATAAAGGTTTTTTGCACGTTGGGTTCCCAAAATAGGAAACTCACAAAACTCCGAAAATTTGAAAAAAAATATACCTGGCCAAGTTGGTGAAATGCTGTCAACGTCAAACTGAAATGTCGTCAAAGATAGTTTTTTTTGAAAGGGAAAGGCACTTGTTTTATTGACTGAGTAGTTGGTTCCATACCAACAGTAGCTTCAGTTCTGATCCAGAGAGCCGTGTCTCACGGCCCGGGTCATTTTTTTAAGATAGAGAAGACCCCTTGCCCGGCAGTCGCACTTGCGACCACTCGGCCAACGAGGCAGTCAGCCATATTTCTTTATTTAATTTTTAAATTTTTAAATAAAGAAATATGGCTTTGTGTCTGACGTATACCAACAGGCTTTCATACGGAGCTGGTAATGTGTAGTTACGCATCATTCATCATCACGCATCATGCATTCTTTCCATTATCTTGCTTTCACCAAAAACACTTTACCCGATTTGGTGTTATCATTAGCGAATTATAGCATGACCAAGGAAAATAGTGATTCATTCCTATAGATAGCGATAATTTAGATATCTTTTAAGTGCCAATTACAGTCATATATGACTAAACAAGCATTTCAAAACGATAATATTATAAGTAATGAATTTATCAGACACAAGTATTCATGTAAAAGAAATTGATAACAATAATAATATACAAAAGGTACAGAAAGGTGTGGATTGAAAGATGATGTAGTGACAAGTATTGAAAAGGGAATGTTACGCTGGTTTGGACATGTAGAAAGGATGGATGAAAGAAGAGTAACGAAAGAAGTAGAGGTATACAGAGCGGACATGAATGGGGCCGTCGGTAGAGGGCGCCCTAGACGGACATGTACTGACCAGATTGACGATATATTAAAGAAGGGCCAAATTAAAAGTACCCTTAACCAACAAGCATGCATGAAAAGACTGATGACTGTTAATGAAGCAAAAGAGGTATGTAGGAATCGTAGCAATCGTAGCAATTGGCGTTCCCACCCACCCGCATAGGAGACAGGCGTGAAGTTATGTATGTATGTACCAGCGTACTGATAAATAAAGTAAATGTAAATAAACATGATACCTATAATTTTATAATTAATTACTGTACATACTTCTCCGATTGACCTAACACAGTGTTTACATAATTCTGGATAACATTTATGACCTGAGTTATGACTACAAGTAAATAAAACTTCATGCATAAGTTATTTATGCTTAACGAAGTTAAAAAGAGTATTTCCTAGTGGGAGGTTTTTACTCATTCAAGGCTGTATGGTAATTGATATCTTAAAATTAAAAAAGTATTAGCTTTCCTTCTGTTAAAAGTTTCTAGTTAAACCCTTATGATTTACACTTTTTCTTCAAACACTCTAACTAATGAGAAAATTACATGAGAATGTGTTCAGCAGTTTTGGCGTTCATTCCAAACAGACACTAGTCAGGTTATCTTTCAATTACCTATGTAAAGATTTTCTGCCACTATTTTTTACTACTGCCGGCTGCCGGGCAAGGGGTTTCGGGTACGATTACCGGGTCGGGCAAAGTATAACTGGGTATTTTTAGAAAAAATCCCAGTAGTAGCACGAAGTCTGGAATTGTGCCCGGTATATGGCAATAGGCTCACCCCTATTACATGGGACGCGTAACATAAATAGTGAAAAGTGATTGTTACATTGTACATTTGCATTAAGTGCCGTAATGTGCACCTCTGCCTACCCCTTCGGGGATAAAAGGCGTAATGTTATCATTTTTTTTACTTAAACTAAGAAACAAAACAATACTCACTCTCATCAACCCTGCTGATACTCTCACTGACAGAGTGGCTTCGTTTGAAGGATTCTCTATCAATTCTATTGGTCTTGGGCTTCGGGTCGACAGCAGCCGCGCTCACGACGGCACACGAAGCTGACCGAAGTGGGCCCGAAGCGAACCCATTCGTAGGAGACGTTTGCTTACGAGATCTGCGAAGATAGAGTTACAAATTGTAATACGATAATTGTGTATAAACATATTATTACATGTTATTGAATTGCATGTCTCGTTGTGTGTAAACATACCTAGTTATGTTTACGTATGATTTAAGGCCTGCTAGTAATTATTTGTTTGTCAAAACATTCCTCATTTCGTAGGTAGTTGTTGGTATGAAATGAACAAAGGCTAACCGCTAGTATTACACATCTAGGTAGAGGATTTTTTAATGAAACTTCCATTATAAGTTGCGCGTCTGGTGAGTCAAATGTGATTCACTATCTCACAAACGGTTGCTAAACAAAAAGCAAGGCTTTCTTCACAAAGCTTGTAAAAATCTTTTACACTGAATTGTACATTAATGAAATAATCAAAATTGTAATATTTTGGAGAAGCTTCAACTGCTGAAGTGTGTATCAGAAGGACTTAAATGTTTCATACTGTTTAGCGAAACAAAATGTCTGCCTATCAGAACATAAAATACACAGTCCCAGACAATAAGATAGACTTTAAATAACAACAATGTACATGTTTTCATGGCAAATGTGTAAGTTAACTTACTTAAAAGTATTAGGCGGTGGTATTCCCGGCGAGGCGGTCACAGGCGCGGCTGCGGGGGGCGGAGTGACGGGTGGAGTCGCTGACACTACCTTGTCCCTCTCTAATCTACCAGCTACGGTGAACAGAGAGGCATCGGTCTGAGGAACGCGTTTGCGCCACCCCTGAAACAAGACACACGAAGATGGTTAATGATTTACTCAATTGCTCCAGAAAGACGGTCGTGTTATTCGGTATTGTAGGTAATATCTATTTGTTATTTGTAATTTTGGTTTATTCTCGTTTGGTTGGCCTATATCCAGATTTTCTAGTAGTGGATGAAAAGTATATATGATTTGAAAGACCTTAACATATGAAGTATCGTTAGATTTATCGTTGAAAATCTAAGTAATTAGGTAAGAATTAGATAAATCTAAGATGCGATAATTAGGATCTGATCTGTATATAGTGCTTGTGTTGGACCCAAGTGATTAAATCCATTTCTGTATATAGTGAAAATGCATGCCCAATTTTTTAAACAACGTTACGTTTGCAATACAAGACATGTCAATGACGTGTTACAATATGATGAATAATTTTGCACAAAATCACAGTAAAATACACGCGCATCATTGTTCGAGGAAAATCCTAATGAATGTATGCAACCCCTTGCCAAAACAACGTCTTGTTTTACGCCAACGACGACAAAATTTTTGTTTAAAATAAAGACGGAAGCTATATTTAACAATCAAAACATTGAAGGTGAAACACTTAGCCATAAATACAAATAACATATCGGTGTTATATATATATATATATAAATGTGACCATACAGGGAAACTTGCGAAGTCGTAATTAGTTAACTAAACATATTTATGTTTACAGTAATTGATTGAATCAGTATGTTTGACGTCGAATTATTGCTAAATAAATAACTATGTTCAACCGCAATATGTCACCCAACTAGAATTAATTGGACAGCGACCATAGTGGTCTTTATCAACAATGAATCACAGTGGCCAGTTACTCAGAATTCTGAATATTCGCACTTTATGTATTTGTGCACCGCATCGCTGCATATACCGGCCACTTACCCACTCCAAACACCATTAAGCCCTTGATCTTTTAATATCCTTAGCAGGCAAAGGATAAATTATAATTGTTTAACATCAATGCCCATTGGTAAGGCCCAGAGGTCAGGCAATTGTTGTAAACCACATTCCGTATATCAACCGACTCGTTGGAAGTTGTAAACGCGATTTTACGCAACTCAGAATTGTTTAAACAGCAAACAAGGTCTGAACTTTGGCATTTATGCCTGCAATGAAAGTTGATTTATACGTTTTACCTGATGAGCAAATAAATAAAAGTGGTGGTGCAATGATAGACGTGGACATGACAGTTGACGACACTGGCAAAAAACATGTAGTTACTGGTAAAGATCGTGCAATCGCGAACAGTAATGCAATCGTGTATGTGCAAAAAAACTTGTGGCCATCGCTTTACGACCTAGAAAGAGAATGTCAAGAGGAAGAGAGTAATAAATATGAAGCGGCAAGTACAAGCGTTTACTAAATATTAAAAGAATAAACATAAAATAAAATTAACAAGAGAGTTGAGCATTATCGGCCGGCAGGATAATGGAGCGATAAAGTTCCGTATGAATGGCAGGAACCTTTGACTTTTTATTATTATGTTTTATTTTATTTTAAGTATTTGTATTACGTCCTCTTGTGCTAGTTAAAACCAGTGACCTATTGTCTTTCTTAGGACATCAAGCATGCCAGATATTTTGTATGAATGTGTGGGTTTTCGCACGACGTTTCACACATCATTAATTTGGTAGTATGTAATTAAATGTATGTACATAATAGAGATTTGACAGTGTTTCTACAAGTAAAATAAATTTTCGGAATGACATAACGATCACCCTTGTTACACAGGTTTTATTACATATTTATCCCAAATAACCCTGCAATTGCGAATCATACACGTACTAAAATATTTCTACCATACGTCGAAACGTCTAAAACCTACTTTATTTTTAGAATCACACAAATTCCTTGCGATTCTACGTTTCGGAATGACTAACAATTCTATTTTGACTTCTAAAAATATTTAGTTCCTGTATAGCAATTTATTTAAAATACGTGATTTTGATGAATGTATGTGGTCGACAAAATTGAACACTTTCTTACTATTTATTTAAGTATCTTCTTAATACTTACTTGTGCAGCTGTTTCCAATTTGTTCCTTCTATCTGCTAGAATATTTGTGGTTCCCAATTCGTTGTCATCGATGCCTTTCTTCTTGTCGTCGACCGAATTTAGAGATTCCTGTAACAAACAGATTACCTTTGGTAAATATTTGACCATTCTCTTTACGTCGAGAATTATACTAGAACTATTATTAATTGTTATATTAATATCGTAATAATTATATGAACCACACTCTTCTCTTTATCTAGATTAAAAGAATACGGGTATAATGTTCCCATTACAATTTTGATGAAGATATTAGATTGATGGAGAGAAAAAAGTGCGAAAAGTTGCAATTATGGTGTCTTCCTTCTATTGTGAATCGAAAACTTCATTGTTACGTATATGGATAATTATGTGCATTTGATCTACATTCACGGACTGATAATTTATTGTCACGCCATCTTACATAATATAATCTAGCATGTCTTTGTAAACCATAATTCTAATTGCGAAACCTGCTAACAAGCCTGTATCTGCAATAAATTCTTTTGGTATGACTGTTCTACTGACTAAGGAATCACGTATAAACATACGAAGATGATTATAATTTAGTAGCTATAAAACAATTAATATATCGCACGCAACCAAATCATTAAAATAATCAAGCGGATACAAACAGTAATAGAATTGATTAAATTTGGCAATCAAGTTGAATGTATCCGGCGATAAAACTAGTATCTTTTTTACCCAATAACAAAAAAAAACCTGCCTGAACATTGTCCACGGCATCGACATCGAACTTCTTGAAAACGGGTTTAAGACCTCCATTGCTAGCGTTCTTCGTTTTATTTTTCAGTTCTCCGATGACCGAACCAAAGTTAAGACCCTGTGGAAACCCTGGCTGCTTTTGCAGACGCTTTAAAACTGGTTTACTTTCTTCTATTTTATTTTCAACAAGTTCATCTGCAGGTTGTTCAGCGTCTTGTATGTTATTGTTTCCGTTAATTCTTTTTATCCTATCCGCTATAGCGTCTATCACATTTTGCTGTTGCAAAGCCTTGTCACTCAGTGGATGATCCTCTTTCTTTGTAAGAGGTACAATATCTTCAGAAGTAGCATAAAGAAGTTTCTTCGGTTCCTCATGTATGAGTATTTCGGTTTTATCTAACGACAAGTTTTGTATTATTGACTGTATTTTATCATCGCTCAAAATAGTTTTCTCAAGAAATTCCGCAAGCTTTTCTTTTGGCGGACTCTCCCGTCTGACTGGGTTTTCACCGAGTAATTTTTCGTTTCGTTGTTTCAGTAAAATACTCGGTGTTATTAACTCTTCACTTTTGACAGATTTATTTTCTTGTTTGGATTCAACTTTGGGAATTTCAGGAATCTTACTTTTAGCTTTAATATTTTGCAGAGCAAGCTCTTCGGAACGATCTTTACATGTAATATCATCAGATTGCGTTTCACTTACTGTTGATTGAACATTTTCTATCTTATCATATTGAACTTGTTCACATTTCGATGGTAGTAAGTATTTCCACAATAAGTAAATAAGGACACCAAGTCCAATGAGCGTTTCGAGTAACATTGCGATTTATTTTTAAAACACTGACTAGAATGAGATCGATATACGTTATTGATAGCGGCACTAAAAATCCTTGAAGGCTTCTCGCTCCATTTGTAATGAGGAATCAATTGAGCAATGATATTTCACACACTGTAGTAGCACATTGTTTATATTAGCATCGAGCAATTCATATCGTTCAATAACACTTGGTTAATTGTCACTGTTGTGTAGGAAATCACAAGAATAACAAAAATATATAAACATTGTTAAACTACGTAAACAATGTGTCTGCTGCGACGGTCAGAATCGAACTGATCACTGAGACCAGTCGTCATTATCATCTGGCAGCGGACACGGCACGTGTGACTCATGCGCAGGTCCTAGAACGAGTGTAAACATTGTATACTAGCAGTACAAGTAGCAGCAACAATGACGCATCACCAATAAAGAAAAATGTCTATAATGTAGGCTCGTGGTGGCCGGTACTACGGACTTGGCAGAATCCTTGACCCAAGACAACGCCACACCCAAATACAGAAACGATTTAACCTTATAATATCTTTAAGGAGACTGACAGATAACTGCTACTAGAAAACTGGCGACAACATACCACCTACATAATAAATATAGTAGTCAAGAATACAACAATACAAATAAAACCACCTGATTAATCAAAACAGTGCATTGTAATTCTATTACTAGTTGTAATAGAATTACAATGCACTGTTAAATATACGATGAGTCGATTCTAGAGTTTGATTTACTAGGTGACCCAATAACTGACAGACAAAATAAAATTATGTTGTTTATAATTATAATACATTTTCATTGAAACACATAAGTGTAGGTATTGCATATTATAATTTTCCAATAAGTAATATTTACTGCATAAAGCAGGAAAAATATCGAGTTTAAAACTGGGTTGCGACAAACAAGATTCCATCTAACAGCCTCAATGTACGCAATAATACTGTCGTCGCTCGGAGTTTGCACCAAATAAGTTAACTTGTCCCAACCTAATGTGGAAACGAGCAAAAACTGCGGACGCTAATTCATCGAAATTATTTAAATTAAACCAACTTTGAGGATGGAAGCTACTAAATTCAAATACATGTGACAAACAGGAAGATGAAATAAACTGTATTTTACTCGCACGTTTAGTAGAATTGTAATGATACGTCAATCCTGTCAACGATGGCTTAATAAACGTCAATAAAGGCAATGGTGTGGGCAATATAGGACGAATCCATCACAATTATACTATCAACAAAATGACACACAAATATGCGGCCAAATTGACCGCTCAACTCGCATTGAATACAAATTACGTGAACATTGAGAATTTGAATGTTTACATGCCTTTAGCGTACACAAAGAATAATTAAAGTTTAACAGAAATAGAAACGTAGGTTTAAGGGGCGAAAGTGTCGGTATGAATAAAAATTTACATTACAAAGACTGCCTCCTGATTAACACTAGACGAAAGAAAATAATCTACATGATACTAAATACTACAAGAACGTAACGTTAACCTATAACAGCTTACAAGGTCGGTACCAAAGATAGCAAAGATAAGTCTGATAGCAAACGATAATGAAGAGCACGGTTTTCACGCAATCAATAACAAAATTCACCTCGAAAACAAATTACGTAAATTGGCATTCATTTTAGTTAACAACACACTAACAGTAATGGAAACAATTCTTTGTACACCAAGCTCATTGAGATTTATATGCAATGAGATAAACTAATTGGAATTGATAAAATGAAGATGTTTCAATAAAAATAATAAATATAATCACACAAAACTGCACAACGGTTTAAATCTGAAGGTTTAATTAAATCCCGACACATAATGTCCAAGGCACAGTTACGAATATTTTGGCGCGTCTTATTGTACGCGATTTTCGAAGGCAAAACCCCGTGAAAGACTTCGACGGCAGCGCGCGCGCATTGGCCGACTTGTCCAAAACAACTGACGGTGCCAGTACGTCTCGCCAGCCGGCGGTCGGGTCATTGTCGACGCATGTGCAACTCGAATACCGCTTTTTGGTACATGGAAATTAAGATTCGCTTTTTGTTTGCTCAACGAACCAGCAAGTTTCCCGGAAATTATTCGCAAGGCTTTTGAGAATGATATACGTATGTGATTCAACCTCGAGTTTAACGACGCAGTTACTAAGAGTCTCGAAACCTTTTTGCTGTTATAGACCTAGTACTTATTGACAAATAAGTTAAAATGATACTAATCTGACGGATACTTACCCAACTGGTACTGCACTTTCAAACGATATCTTCTTACATATGTGATTGTATACAAAGTAATACGATACAGTAGTCAAATATCGTGAGAAACAAAAATTTTGGCTTGGAAAGTCAAGTACTATTATTTAAACAAAGCTTTGTATTCACACAAGACTGTTTTATAACTTATTAAATGCGTATTCGTAACCTCAGTAATTTTATTAGCATAATATGTTGATGGTTTGAATATTTCTTCATACATTATCTATTAATTGGTTGTCTTTAATGGAGTTCCTCAGGGTTCCATCCTGGGCCGTCCGCGACTATTTTTGTTATAGTTTGCATACACGTTCGCACATGGAACGTATTTTTGCTTAAATTAGAAATAATTATCCCTTCACACACTTACAATTTACGATTTTCTGCTCTAAAAAGCAATCTTTGGTCAGACCGCCGTCATTGGGTTCATCATAACTTTGCAGTGGCCAAAATTTATAATTAGATTTAGCTTCTAACGCCAAAACTTATGTGGAGCACTTTCATAACAGTTTCGTTGGCACTGTTTGACTAATGAGTGTAACACAAAACTATAAAGCGAACACTGACAGATGTTCTTTGGATGTTTCGTTAATTAAATTAATATTCAGATGAGTAACTAGTTTATAAATAATTGAAATCCTAGCTGATTGTATTCGAGGTTGCGGTTTAAATTTAAGAACAAAATTCAGTTTAATTTTTTATGAAATTAATATGGAATAGTTTCTCCAATGTCTAAAGATAATATTTTCTATAAAACAAAGAGTTTGTTTTATACAATTTTTGCTTCGGGATATAGATAGCGAGTCCTAAACAATAATAACTCCATTCTAAGTTCCTGTTACTGCTGGAATTCATAGCATGTCTTATATGTATTTTTATTTGAAAACATAAAAGGTAATATGGGAGGCGCAGATGACTCAGATTGTACATATTAGGTTTGTCTTAGCGACGCCATTAATTTGAAATGTGGTGCAGTTTATTAAAATGTAGAGGACGTTTGTGTTGATGTACATGAGCGTTGATGGATGTCAACTCGTTGTGCCAACAAAATACTTGTAGATAAAATCTAAGTAAGACAAATTGTACGGGGCATTAGAAAAGGCACCTATTTGCAGATATTTTGGTCAAATTCCAAATCAATGCTAATAATCTTTCAAAAGACTTTAGGAAAGCCATTTAACAAATACACATCGCTTTTTGAAATCGTTCCAGAGAACCAGTCCATGTTTAAAGTACCAAATTACCAATTTAAATAAATAAATACTAGAATGCTAATCAATTCGAAGTATGGAACATAAATCGCATAGTTTAGATGCCAGAGAACAAGTAACCAATGAATATTAATGTATAGTTAATAACTGACTAAATGCAGCAATTTACAATCGGTGTGCGGGCTACGTTGCAGAGTGCGGTGCATGCGCCGGTCCCGCGTTACGTCACGACCGCGCAGGGCTAACCGACTCGTCTAGAGTTACATTTTGCGGCCTAGTAATCATTGAAGCTTTGTATACCGGAAATATTAATAGAAATATTTACTATACACTTTATAACTTTATCTACTGATCGATGTCGATCACAATGGTCAATCAGTCTAATTACTACTTGTCTTTGCAGGAGGTAATACAGTGCAGAAGTGTGCGTAAACATTGTTTGGAAAGACCAAAAAATCTCTATTCTCATGATCCAATAGAATAGCGATCTGATTCTTTACCTGCTTTTTGAGATACGAGGAAGGAACGCTGATAAATTTTCAAATTATTGGCCAATAAAGTCGAATAGTGTCAATCAGGAGTTATTATATTGTGCAAATGTTCGTAGAGGAATGTTTTGATTACATCAGAATTTAGGGTTGTTTACGTTCATCTCAACGCAAACAGTAAATTTGATTGTTTTGTTATTACAATAAACAATAGTACGGAAAATGGTTAATCAATTGTGTAGGTAATGTTGATGATGAACGTAGTAAACAATAATACTAATGACAAAATGTTTATAGTAACTTGCATGAAATAGAAGACCAAGACTAAATATGGGCAAATATTGTCTCAGAAAACACCACGATTTCCACAAAACCCAACAAAACATTAAGCCTTAACATTTTAAAAAATGTGTTAAGTGGATTAATCCATTAAAGTAAGGTTAAACCTCGGAAGTCGGAACTAAAAATACTGTAAATCTTTTTAAACACATGTTGCCATTCTGAAACAGTCTTATTTCGCATTAAATTAGAGTTTAAACTCTTATGCACAAATAAATCTGTATGTAGAAGTGTGTTTGTATACATAGACACCTGGGACGTACTGACTGCGACCTCATTCTAATGCCTCCCTATAAGGCAGGGTTATGCCGAGTTACAATGTGCCTTGTATGGAGGTGAGGACGCGATACCCTTACAATAATGTAGGCAAATGCGGCCTAGAATGCAACACTTCGATTATGTTTACATTAAAATTTTATGTCAATGTGATACTAAAATTGTTTTAGCACGGAAGTACCTTAAAAGGTATTGATTAGATTAATTTTCGATTGGTGAAATGTTTAGAGTGCCGTTTTACTAAATAAGCGCACGATCACTCAAAACCATAATGAACTCGTTCTATTCTGCAATATAATTAAAACCATTAAGCGAAATGTTTTCCTAATTGAGTAAATTAAAATTGAACGCAATATTTACAAAACATGGCGAGCCCGCGAGCACTCGGCACTGGCATTTTCCCGCGCTTAGTAACAAGATTACT